ACGGTCGCCATCGCTTTCTTAATACGAAATAGGTAAAATATAATTAATGGATCATTCATGAATATTCTAAAATAAGAATAATTAATGCCTTTGTTTAAAGGTTGAAACAGTTTTTTATTACAATTTCCAAAATATTTAAAATCAGGGCTAACTTATTCCATAAATTATATAGTCGTAGTAGTGTAATGTGGGAAAATTTCAAAGGCAGAAAAGTGGCAACATTGAACATAAATTGCTACCTAGTACATATAGCTACTATATCGTCTGCTTACGGGTAAAAAGTAATAAGTGCAGTTAGTGTCAATTTGAGTAAAAGACTTTTCAAAGTTTAAGTTTTAATTTGATATATTTCAAACTCAGTAATAAATACATTGTTAAAGCATAATTTTGCATTTGCACTAACAACCCTTCTTTTAAGATTTACTCTTATATAACATTTAATATTAGTAAATACTTACTGTATAAAATTTAATTAAGATCGAAAGGGGACCGCATTTAATATGTTTTACCTGTACTTAACAAACGTGATATCTTCTGAATTCATTGACTTTAAAAGCTCATTTCAGTTTTGTATAATGGCTTATTGTATTTTACACCAATAACATGATAGTAAAGATTTTTTTGAAAATTCGCTTAAATAATGATAATTTTGATACTTTTAACTTGTTTTGCCTGTAAAATTTGTGTAATTATGTCACTTATTAGGTACTATAAACATTGTACAAAAGTGATCATCAATTAAATAAAAAGAAATAAATTTTACATAGGTAAAAGGTACAGGATACTTCCTATTTTGGAACTGCCTCATTTCCCATTAATTTCAGACCAAGCAAACAATATGCGTCGTTTGGCAGCGCTACTTCGTATATACAGAGATTGTAAACACATAGTTTTCGATAATAATAAAGCTGTCCCACCAGTCCAGAAGGTATCTGTAACACAGCAGTCGAATGTTACACTGCGAAACTCTTTATCTTTCTCTGCTCTTTCTTTGTCCTTCGCATTTTCCGGGTAACAGGACGCTTTCCTTGCTAAATGATCCTCGTGTTCCCCTTTCAACACTAGTTTTACGTCGTCACTAGCTTTGTTGAAATTGGAGCATATTAAACATTGATCCTTTTTTGGAACAAAAAAAACTAAAATTGTAATGGGTACAAAATATTCTTCTGTACGTTATTTCAGATACCGGAATCATATTATTTTCAGTGCAGTTGTCTTTATAAAGTTGATGCATTTTCGTGATGGATAACGAAGCATCCAGATAACCCCGCTTAGAAGTTTGCGTTATGTAGTGTGGTTCCATCACAGGAAAGGACTCTTATGTGTTTTGTCACAAAGTTTACTTCCTTAGTCTTATTAGGGGGTTCATGTTTACCTCTCTTGTCACTATCCTTGTATAGCCCCATTATTCCGTTTTCGAATAGCATCATCCACAACAGTCGGAGAAATAGCTAGCGTGTAACAAAAAAACTTCTGACATACCTGCTTCTTCTCTCCGTTGTGAAAAAAGAAACATCTTTTTGTAAATTGACGCTGTTTCTTCGGTCCACGAATAGCAAGAACGAGAATTTTAATTAGTAATAAAAATTAGAAATTACGCGAGCAAGTCGGGTGTTTTAATCTTACCCCGTGTCGTGTAACTTGATTTACGAGGTAGGTACGAGTTTTTTATTTGTATACATACTTATTATTTTTAATTGGTAGTTATGTTGCTATGTCTAAATATCGCTACTTTTTGGATTTTAGGATTTATTGTAACATTCTGTCTTTACCCGCCAATATTTGACGGGGTAAGATGAACATATAAAAGTTTCCATCTTGCCCCGTTTTCAAAAGTCATACAAATGGTTTCATGTTCTCAAACTGTACCTGAAAAAATGTTTTGTTTTGTTACAGCCATTATATAAATTGTCAGGGGCACAATTTCAGCTAATATTATCTAAAGGTATTTAGATAATATTAGCAAACGGGTCACCTGATGGCTAAGTGATTTCACCGCTGCCCATAGACACAAGAAACAACAGGAGTGTTACTTGTGCGTTGCCTTCTCATAAGGTATAGGAACAGGATTCATAGGAATGGGAGTAGGAACTTAAAGAAAGGGGAAAGACCACCAGACACTCGTTAGTAAATGCAACATCACAGCTCCTAGAACAATGCAACGTCACATCGGTTTATCTAGCAAACTTCAACATTCGGGTGGCCTTAAGAAAAGGGGAAGAGGAACGGGCATCTGGAACTCTCACTCACCAGACGAAACATGGCAGCCATCAAGAAGCTAAACACTTCACGCTGATTTTATGTGAGAGGGTAGTATCGCATCGGTCCACCCTGCTCATTTATGTGTTACAGTGAACTGTAGACGTGGATCTACTACAATTTTTTTTGAAGTTTTTGTTTTTACTTGTGGCATTTTTCTAAGATCTTATTAATTGGTTAGATGTTTAATTTTGAAATATTTGATTTTTTACGTTTTGTGCTACATATTTTGTTGACCAAAATGGTAAAAGGTACATGTACGTAATGGTGTTTAAAATTATCTTGGCATTCAAAAATCAAAACAAAAAAAAGAACATTTTTCTTTTCTGTCAATGATATGTTAGTATAATAACGCAAAAAAATGTGGCATAGATAGTAATCTTCATAAGAAAAATTTAAAATGTAAGTTTCTAATTCATCTTTAGCAAAATATTACTAATTGTCACACAGGACATTTATCTGACAAATGGCAATAATGAAATTTAGCCCCCGTAGGCATTTCATTCTGCCCATACAAAGTTGACCGGGCCTGGATTTTAGAAACTACTTCGATCTTACCCCACCACCCTTTTATCTTTCCCCCTGTTTTTTTCTTTCGATAAAAACATTGTACTTAATTTTTTTTTGCTTACGAATAAATATAACAGGGATTTATCGATATGACATAAAAATATGCTCTTTGTACTTTATTCACTATAGATATAATTTTAGCTTAAGTTATATGTATTGTTCTACAAGACGTTAAACACAACACTGCTCATCTTATCAAAAAACCGTTCGATCTTCCCCCCCACTCACCTTAACTCTTTTTACACGGTACCGGACACGATATAAAAATCACCTAAGGTAAAAAATAATAAGTTATCGACAACAAATTCTTTGGACAAAGTTGAAAATCATTGCTATTCACCCCGTTTTACGGTACCTATATTGTAACGCGTCACAAATGTAACTACTGTCTCAACAAACCGATTCGTTGCGGCACCGATTTTCGACAACTTTTAGCTGTGGCGGCGTGTCAAGCGCCACAAAGTTGATGACACGCCTATTGTACCATCAGCCATGTGTAAAAGTAATTACCTTTTTTCACTTGTTTTGACCTAATTAAGTTTAGTTGACATCAAACATCAGTTACAAACGGAACTACGTGTTTTTCTACATGTTTTCTTTGAAATTGAGTGACTTTTTTATGCAGATTACAAACCTTTTGTACTATTTTTTGTTTTATAAAAAAATCATTTATATAAGTAGGTACAGCTAAATCACCCTGGAAAACCTTGGTTTTTATTACATTAAATTTTCACCTAATAATAACTTTTGTAAATAACAAACAATCAAGAACCTTAATTTGGAATATTTACAAATGTTATTTAATCTTATACAAATGTAAAAGCAAAGTCGATCTGAAAACGTCTAATTACTAAGAATAGCAAAACAAGTGTTTTCAAAAGGAAAAATATGCCGCTTTTTTATGCGTGAACGGTTTCGAACTGTTTCAAGCAAAAATAAACTTTAAGGTCTATTCGGCCATATGATAGCAATAAGATGGCAGTTCACATATAGCAAAATTAAACAATAAGACAAACGCATTGTTTTTTTAACAGGAGACTTGTTTTCCAGAAATTTATTTACAACTTGAGTTTGTGAGTGATCGCAATGAGTGCTATTATTTGTTACTTATTAGACTATTTTTCCATGATTTAAAACCCACAAAGTAAAAAATGTACCATGTACAAGTTAAAAAAAGGTTGTCAACCCCTAAAAATTTCAAATTTTCAAATACCTAGAAACGAAGCTGTAGGCATGAACTACTTGTAAAATAATATTTTGTTCTGGATAAATCTTCCAAAAACACGATTTGAGCGAATTATAACGATTTAAAAAAGAGACACGACTCGCGTGTCATACGCCACACAAAAATAATCGATAGCACGACTGGCTGCTACTGTGTTCCTTTGGAATAAGTGAAGCTCGTATCTTGGTTTTGTATTAAACGGCAGACTGCACCTGCGTCTCAAAAACACGTAGTTGGGCGCAACCTTTACATATTAAATGAAATCCGAATATTTATTCGGTTATATTTCACTTTATGAAGCTCTTGTTCTCAATAAACGACGTTATGGTCTATTGACCCTGCAGTTTTATCCAACGTATAAAAATGTGGCGTTTATTTCCGATCCCACTAGCAGCTATTTTCAATTAATCGTGACTGAAAAGCTTGTTCTTGGTTTTTTTTTAAACGTTACCCCTACACTAGGATTTTCTCATGTATCGTGGAGGCATCATACAAATAAATTGCACAAGGACAAATATCCAGACCCAGAACAATTATTTGTAGGCCATACAATTACTTGTTCCGTGCGGGATTCGAACCCGCGGCCCCAAGCGCCGTAACTCATTGCTAAGCCACTGTGTCACGGAACCGTCGAAGCTCGAAGTGGAAAAGCTAATGTAAATAGGCTAAACATGACTAGGGCCCGCACAATCCCGTTTGCGAAACGCACTTATTGTCAGATATGCATTAGGCATTCCACAGAGAAAAGTAGAATATTCATTAAGATTGGAAAGGTAAAACTTTATAATAAGCAATTTAATAAAAACAAAAATAATACTTCTTTATTAAACATTTAATCCCCATTTTTATAAAATGAATTACACATAGTAATCTGGAATGCAGTGCTAAGGAAAAGATTTTATTTATTTTGACTTATCTAACTGAATTAAGTAGAAAAACCTTGAGTTTACTTGTCTCTTACTTTAATAAGATCATTTAGATCTAATGCTACACATATTTCCTTTGAATCTGTACGGGGATTACGGTCCAGAATTTCTGTTATTGGATAGTAATTGTCACGATTATCAACATTCCATCCAGAGTACTGAAAACAAACATATAATAAATGAAATGGCGTTCCATGAGATAAAAGAAGAATATTAAGAAATAAATTGTTAAACAATAAATTTTATAAATTAGCATACCACACATGTACATTTGTGAAGTATTTTTCCATTTGATTCCATAGGTATAAATTTTTGTAATAATGCTTTTCCATCTATTTTCCACAAATTCAATTCATCCAAGTTTGATATAACTGTATCACCGTCCCATTTAACATCAGACTTCAAGAGAACAAAATTCCCAGACTAAAAATATTAATAATCCACATTAATTAAAATCAAAAGAAAATAGTTCAAATAACAACATCTGGACAACATTATTCGGAGACCCAAGCGGTTTTACAGTTTCCCAAATCATCTATTCTTAAAATGTCTTAGAGTATACAAGTATACAAGCAATCTATAGTGTGCATTAGCGAGTATGAAAAGTAAGCACGGACATGAACAGTCTCGAAATTACAAGAGCGAAAGCTTTAAGTCACGAAAGGACACGCGCGGATGATAATACCGGCGATAGAAAAGCCAGTAATTACTTAAATTTTAAGTTACCATGGTGAAATTTGCAGTAACAAGCTCTAAAAAACGATTCACAGAAGCAAACTTATTATTAGGATAATATTTCTTTTCATCGGTAAGTAATATTTTAATATAAAAACACTAATTTTATATAATATTGTCTGTTAAGTGAAATGGGCAATCACAGATTATGGTTGTGATAGATATTTTACAGCTAGATAATTTAAGAAGCTGAACTCTTTCATACTGTAAACAGACTACATCTCAGGGCATTATTGTCCAGAACAGATTATATAGTTAATACATACATGGAAATGCTTTGGTACATCTTTAGATTGGCTTGAATCTGACTTATTACCGTCAGAACCATTTTTCTCCTCATCAGAACCTTCCTCTTCATCTAGCTCACCCTCATCATCTTCACCTTCTTCGTCTTCCTCACCCTCTCCTTCACTTTCATCAGATGAAGAATTCTTATGTTTCTTTTTTGAATTACTCAAAGGAGCTCTTGATGCTCTTTTACGTCCACCCCTTACAGATTGTTCATTCTAAAAGATCATGAGGACAATTAACCAATAAATATACACGAAAAATAAATTAACATAGGTATATTATACAGGGTTATTTTGCAATAACCGGCCAAATTTGCAGAGAAGATTCAGAATAAGTAATATAGGCAAATGGTGAAGAAAAATTAATTAAAAAAAGGCAAACATTCTGTCCTTTTATCTTTTAAATTCAAAATGCATGGTAATGCATCATTTTAACAGATTTTCTACTATTTTACTATCTACGCACACATTCATAAGAATCAATCGGTCGACAAAAACGTAGATTGAATCACATTCAATTTGGGATATATTCTATAATATAAAAATGAATCGCTTAATGTGTTGCTAAGCGCAAATCTCAAGAGCAGCTGAACCGATTTTGCTAATTCTTTTTCTATAATAATCCTTGAAGTACGAAGATTGATCTTACAGAGAGAAAAATTTAAAAAATTGCCTGAAAAACACTAAAAAAAACACTTTTCTATATTCCCATACAAAAGATTCGTAATAATACTTAAAAGTAATTTGAACTTTAATACCATACCATAAAGTTTAAGTGTTAGTGGAGGGGTTCCAGGAAGGCAAATCAATTGAGTGACGTTATTATCATATAAATATTAATGTCAAAATTTTATAAGATGGTAGCATTACTCAAAAACAAAATAAGGGTTCCACGCAAAAAAATTGGTATAGAGAGAGAAATCAATTTTCGTGATGAGAGAATCAAATTGGTACAAGAAATCGTAGTAAATTCCACACGTGCAAATTTGCGGGGCACAGCTAGCTTTCAAATAAAAGTAGAAGCCTTATTTATTCGTATTTTCAAAAACTGCAATAATGGTAAATCATTGTTTATATATTTGAACTTAAGTTTAAAATTTGGCTATTCTATGAAAAATAACCCTGTAGTGAGTATATTTGTGATATACTCTGTATATTGTGATATACCTTAGGCCTATGTTCAGCTGAAAAATTTAAAGATTTTATTATTCATAAGATGAAATAAACGGTCTTTATTGATTATCAAGTCTAAATAATGCCACATTAATAGATCCTACCCACGCAAAGCCAGAGCAAGTAACTAGTTACAACTATAATTTTAAAATTAATGTACTATATAATAAATTAACCTATACTTGCATATACAATTCTTTTTAAATAGGTATATTTACATTTATAGAAAATTTCAAATTCAAATTAACTGAATAATATAACATTATAGTGATACCGTTATTAGCGAGTTTTCGCTATTGGTACCACCATTTCTAATCCCATTCTTTATCCATATGGACTGTATTTTTTTAATAGTATAAAAATGACAAACATGCACACAGTCCACCTGATGGTAAGTGATTGCTGTGGCCCATAGACATCTACATCTATCCTTTTTTTTTATAGGATAAGGATGACAAACGAGCACAAAGTCCACCTGATGGTAAGTAGTTGCTGCGGCCCATAGACCCGTGAGGACTAAGATGGAATGCCTCATTTCCAGTAAAAAGGGCCTCCGGCCACCTGCACTCACCAAGCGAAACGCAGAGGTAAACCTCTACTTCACGCCGGTTTTCTGTGAGGTTGTGGTACCACCGCGGTTCGAGCCGGCCCATCCGTGCAACAGCAAAAGCTGCCGCGTGGCTCTACCACTGTTGATTGGTGCATCTCAATTACAAATCAAGATGCAGACGTGTTGCCACCCGTGAGGACTAAGATCGTATGCGTATTTCCAGTAAAAAGGGTCTCCAGTTCTTAACACTCAACATACGAAATACAGCAGTGTAAGCTGGTATTTTACACTGGTATTCTGTGAGAGTGTGGTCCTTCCCCGGTCGAGCTGACTTGCTTCTGAAAAAATAAAAGTCATGTAATGCTTGCACATGAATACCTAAACAGTAAATGATGAATGCCCGCTAGGCTGCAACCCCATAGTTACATTTAAACTGAGACAATAGCGCAAATTAATTGCAACCTGTTAGTTCATGTACTTGCGAAAGACAATCGCCTCATGGCAGATTCATAACACAACTCGATTATACCTGTGTTAAAGGCTTAAAGGATTACAGGGGGGGGGGGGCAGATTAGCCAGAGGCCGGATTACCGGAGGTCTACTGTATTGCCAATTGATTTAAGAACAAAATAATTGTTTCTTGGCATAACAAGTATTTCTTATTCTTAAGCTAGCATAATTAGATCAGAGACATGTACTTGATCCTATTGGGAAAGGTAATATCAGCAACAGTAGGTTGGAAGAGCGGCTAAAAAAGCTTAAAGCCACAAATATCTGGTTCATCCTACCTATTAAGTAGTTTTAGCCTAGTAAAAACTATTTTTTTTTCAAAACAAGTTTTGGCGGGATTTTAAATAAATAAAAAATATGCATACTTAAGAGGGTTACAGCTACAGGTTACCCTTGCTTACTATTTCGAAAATATATACTAAAATTCTTCAAATTGCCTCTCAATCGTGAAATTTTCAAAAATAGATAAATATAATGTATTTTCAAAGAGGATGTGCGCCGCAGCGTTTTCCCCTCTTGTCCCTCACCTCCCTCTCATTTCTGTATTAAGGGGTAGTTACTGTAGTTCTTCTGTTCTTTTTATTAAAATTAATTAGTAAGCACGTTTTTAATTAAACACAGAAATAAACTACTATTTTGAAGCTAATAAAAGCTCAGTCAATACCTACTTTTCATATAGAGCAACATAAGGGAAAATTTTATAACAGGTCAACAAAAATGACGCCGAGAACTAACCTATTAACAAAATATTATTAAAAAATGACCAAACAAATTTACTGCTACCTGAAAATATATCGTGAGAAAAATAACAATGTTTATCAAAATTGATTTTTAACATATATTAAAAAAGCTTTAACATTACCGAATCGGCATCCGGTGTCCAGTCTTCTCCCGAATCTTGAAATTCTTCTGGTTCACCGCCTTGCTCCGATCCATCTGACTCATCACCAGCTTTTTTAAGAGACTTTCTTTTACGCATTTCTAAAGTTAGATTTCAGGTATGGCCGAAAGTATAATTGATGCTAAAATTATCCTTAGCAAAAGACGTAGGTATAAACGGACGCTTTTCTTTCACGGAAATCCGAATGAACCATAGATAAATAAATGTGTAGCAAGCGGTAGCAAGCTAGAATGAACCACAGACCAAAGACTTTATTGTTATTACGATTCACCTATTTAGGCAGGCAAAACTCTTATACTATACAGCTTAGTCAGTATTATTTATTGAAGAGTGCACTATTTTAACTTATAATACCGGTGAAAACTAATAGAAAATAGCTTTTAGTTTGTTTTTAGGTTATAGTAAAATACAAATTTTATTTGCTAATTACTCAGTATTCCCATTAGACACGGTAAAACTAATATTACTATTGTAATCTATAGATTATAATAAATAAATCGACATGCATTTCATTAAGGTTCTCTAAAATTAGTGGTGGGCCCATTCTCTATACAAAAAGAAACTGTCTCCTTTGAATTTCGTTTTCAAAAATATCTTCACAATATTCTTGTACGTCACATTGCAAAATTCTTGGGAGATTTTTTTGACATCTTAACCCAGCGAACAGTTGAAAACTTAAATATTTCAAGGCACCTAAGCCGGTCAAAAAACCTGATATTTTTACAGTACAACCTTAGTAAGGAGTGAGCAATTCAAAATTTAGAATTTGAATCGGTTATTAAAAAAAAACTAATGAAAATTTAATCAAAGTTATTCCAAAGATTGAACCTTTCCAATTAGGAATGGAAGACAACATTATTCAAATGACTGCCACGGCTAGCCTTACAATATTTCAAAGTTACTTCTGAAACGGTTTGCCCATACGATCAGTCCAATTTTTCAGTACATTTTTGATTGTTCAGGCCTCTATTTCGTCAATGGCAATTTCGATTTCATGTTTTAAGTCGTCAATCGTCTCTGAATGGTTAGCGTAACACGGTTCGGTTTAGTCCATAGATAAATGAATATGTAGCAAGCTAGTTTAGTCTTAACGGTATCCCACAAAAAAAAGTAACGGAGACAAATCCTCTTCCTTTCGGACCGCTGCAAGGTGAATTCGCTTGCAAAACCTAAGTCTTCAAATTTAAATAATTAAATCTGTGTCGATAAATCGAGTAAAAAATAGGAGTGCAGAAAGAGTGATGGTGAGAAAAACTGTGAGTCAAAACCTCCTCATTTTCTGAATGCCTAGTACGCGTCTCCCTCCTGTGGACCTACGTTATGTCGTCATCAACCTACCCTCGCTTGCTATAGGACACTGCTGCCGCACTGTTTTTGTGCCTAATACAACTAACTCCTATTCACTTATAGTCTCCTAATCTTGTGCAAATGATACTATGACCAAATCTTTTTCAGATACAGAAGTCGAAATTACACATCAAGCAACCCCACCAAACTTTTTAACTGCCAGGAAAAAGAGAAGAATAGATGATTATACTTTAGAACTGGCTAATATAAAAGAAGAAATGAAAAACATGTTCTCATTGTTTATGGATTCTCAAAATCTAGAATTTCAAAAAAATGAAAGCATTCTGAAAGAAATCCAAAAAACTAAACAAAATATCGAAAATTCTATTACTTTTTTGACTGAACAATATAAGGAATTTAAAGAAAGGACCTCTAAGCTAGAAGAACAAATTAAGGGGGGCAGGAATTATATAGCTATTTTGGAAGACAAAATTGAGGGCATGCAAAAAGATAGACGTAAAGCAAACTTGGAAATCAAAAACATCCCGAGAAAGAACGACGAGGAAGAAACACGCTGCGATGTTCGATCATAAAGTCGTATTGCTGCAGTAGTTCAATCCATCTCGCAACTTGTCCTTCCGGATTTTGAACTGCAATAGCCATTTCAGTGCAGCATGGTCAGTTCGTAAGTAGAATTTCCGCCCCAGGAGATATTTGCTAAAATGCTGCAAGGACTTTACCACAGCAATCAATTCCCGTCTTGTGACACAATAGTTCCTTTCCGGCTTTGACAACGACTCGCTGAAGTACGCTATCACAAACTCTTGATCACCATTTCGTTGAGATAACACACCGCCAAGTCCTATATCATTTGCGTCTGTGTCAACTATAAATTCCTTGCCCGCATCAGGGTATCCCAAAATAGGTGTTTTGCACAGACGGTTCTTGAGCTCCTGGAATGCAATATCGCAACTTTCATCCCAGCAGAAATGTCGCTTCTCCTCGGTTAGCTTGTGCAGAGGTTTGGCTATATCTGCAAAGTTCTTCACAAATCGCCGATAATAAAAGCACAAAACCAAAAATGCTCTAACCTGTGTCTAGTCTTTTGGAACCGGCCAGTCCTTGACAGCGGCAATTTTCTCTGGATCCGTGCGGATACCTTCTTCCGACACTACATACCCCAAAAAGCTAACTTGCCGTTTGAATAGTGAGCACTTCTTCGGACTCAACTTGAGGTTGGCACTCTGGATCTTCATGAGCACGCGTTTCAGGTTTTGAAGGTGTTCCTCAAACGTACGGCCTACGATGTTGATGTTATCCAAGTAGACCAGATAGGCATCTCCAATTAGCCCGGTAAGTACAAGCTCCATCAACCTTTCAAACGTTGCTGGAGCATTGCACAATCCAAACGGCATGACTTTAAATTGCCACAGACCCTTTCCTGTGGAGAATGCAGTTTTCTCATTGTCCTTAGGGTCAATTTCAACCTGCCAGTAACCACTTTTCAGGTTCAGCGTACTAAACCACTTTACGCCTGTAAGCATGTCCAGCGTGTCATCAATTCTTGGCAAGGGATAGCTGTCCTTCTTCGTAACGTCGTTCAGGCGGCGGTAGTCAACACAAAACCGCATGCTGCCGTCCTTCTTCTTTACCAGCATCACAGGTGAACACCATGGACTAGATGAAGGTTCAATAACACCATCCTTCACCATTCCCTAAATTATGGTTTCCACTTCCTATTCACGTGCTACAGGCAATCTTCTTGGCCGCTGACGAATAGGCAATTCTTCTCCTGTGTTTATTTTGTATTGAACTAAGCCAGGATTTCCTATGTCAGCTGCGTTTGACGAGAAAACATTGGCGTACTTGAGTAACAACTTCTTCGCCTTGACCATTTCATTCGGAGAGAGAACGCTGTGACAATCTTATAAAAGTGTGGTCACTCTCGTTTGTCCATCCTTGCTGGGGGTCCCAGTCGATAGATATTGGCACCGACGCAACCAATCCACTTCCTCACTAGTACCAACCAATGTCCCTTTTTCCATAATCTGTTCCTGATCACAAAGGTTCAGAACACGTACTCCTGAGATGTAGGCGGTTCTGACCAAGGTTTGAGCCACTTTCCATGGAAGGTCATTGTCTACCCTTTCCACGAGTACACAACGAAAAGTTTGACCAGGATTCCGAGGAAGTCTAACCGGCACAATCGTTTCCGATCTCGGCAGAAGAACAATCTTCTTAAGGCTGTACACATTCCCTGGTAACGCGGTAACGCCCCTTCCACGAAAAGTTCCTCTTGCCCACATTTCAAGACACCTTGCTTAACGTCGATCTCACAACAATTCTTCCTCATAAAGTCTAGACCCAGGATGCAGTCGTCCATTATATCAGCCACGATGACATTATGCATGTAGATCATGTTACCTAGCTTCAACTCCATCTCCTTCTCTCCATGGACGGGTATGCGCTGACCGGTGGCTGTCAATAAATTAATGCGTCCTTGGTTGTATGCGGAGTCCCCAAGGAACTGACTTATAAGTTTGGAAATGACAACCGTGCGAGAGGCTCCAGTGTCTATGGTCAGTATACACGGCGTTCCGTTGACCTCACCCTTGATGATTAGGCTGTTCCCATCATGGGTTTGTGAGATCGAAATCCTTGGGGCTCTTTTAACATCAGCCAGCACCCGCCCCGCAGTCCTGGCTTTTACTCGTTACCCTGCTGCTGTTGGGCGGTGCTACTAGCCGCACTACCCTCTCGAGATTGATCACCTTCCCTTTCTACAGTTTGCTTAGGGCAGCTGGATCGAAGATGGCCCCTTTCCCCACAGCCGTAGCACCTAGGGCTGTATCCTTTATTGCGGTCGCGAACTGTAGCCACTGCAACCTCCCTGACGCGATAGGAACGATGATCATGCCGCACGGCTTCCACTTCTAGTGCATGGGCCAACGCGTCCTTAAGCGTCTCGTGGTGCCCGAGCCTCACAGCAGCTCTGATTTCAAGGTCGCGGATGCCGGCGACGAATGTCTGCACCAGGTTCCCTACAATGACCGCAGATATAGACTGGTATGCTTTTCGAACCAGCTTCTCCACCTCAAGGGCCTACTGCTGCGGGTTTTCGTTAATGCTTTGCACGCGATCTTTGAGCTGCGCACGAAAGACGTGTTCCAGGTGAGCGTCGCCATATCGCGCCTCCAATGCCTCAAGGAGCTGCTCGTAAGTCACTTACTTACCGAGAGCTTCCAGAACAGTTAAGGCCTGGTCGCGCTGGCCTAGGGTGAGAGCAGTCATGGCCTGACTTTTATTCCAGCCGTTCGCCTTCATGACAGCCTCGAATTGGATTTTGTAAGCCGACCAGGAAGAAGTCCTGTCGAACGGCGGCACTTTGAATCCATGTAGCGAAGCTGTTGTAGCTACCACGGGAGCTGTAACTCCATCCCCAAGTTTGAGGTTGTCCAGCGTTTTCTTCACTTCAGCCATCACGTTGTCAACCCGATTGTCCACTTGGTTGATTCGGGTTTCAGCTTCCGACAGGCGGTTGTCATATCGAGCAACTTTATCCTTCACCTCCTTTATCTCTTTCCCGAAGGTAGCGTGAAGGTCCTTCCGGAGCATCTGCTCTTCCATACCGCGCTGCAGCTACTCTTCCAACCGACGGGTCTTTTCCTACTGTCGGCGGGCCTGTTTCTCCTGTCGGCGAGCTTGTTCCTCCTGTCGGCGAGCCTGTTCCTCCTGTCGGCGAGCCTGTTCCACCTGTCGGCGAGCCTGATCCTGCAGCATCATTATCAGAG